AATTTAAAGACCCAATCCAGAAATGGGCATTTGAGATGAACACACGCTTCTCAGAAGAAGAAATTAAAGAAGCGAATAAATATCATGTTTTCTATATTGTCGATCTAAGTACATTTAAGCGTATCCATCTGGACATAGATCTACTTGATAATCATGTTCATCTGAGCATTACCTAAAATCTCCTTTATGGCAGTGGATGTCTCTGCTAAACCTTGGCGGTGAGGCGTTCAGCCTGCAGCAGAATCTGAAGTAGAACCAGCCTTCCCCAAAAGCATTCTTTGCCCACTAGCCCATACTACTAGATTTCAGGAACATTACTCCCTCTTGCATAATACGAAGGGAACAGCTTGGAGACTTCCTGCAAAGGAAACGATACCTAAGGGCTGGGTGTTACGATGAGGATGACCAGGGAGGACTCATCAGGTGATTTATCCAATATGGTCACACCGAAGGCTGGGTCCAGCCTTCTCCCCCGCCCCCCAGTTTAGGATGTTTTGCTGCAGCTTTTCAATTGAAAGTAAAAGCAGTTATTTAATGCTTTCAGCTTTTCTTTTGGTCCTCTTTCCAAATATTTATTTTTGTAACTACGGAGGAGGAGATAATCTTCCAGCTGGGAGCTCCCACGGAGCTCAACACACTGAGTCTATACTTCCACTTCTGTTCCCCTCAACTGGTAAGCTGTCATGCAGTCAAAAGAATAATATCTCATGCACACAGACACACAGACACACACATGTGCGCGCGCGCACGCACGCACGCGTACACGTACCCAAGATATCTGTATCCTAACCCCTGGGACCTATGACTGGTATGATACATACCAATTCCAAGACAAGGGCGAATGAAGGCTGTACATGGAATTAAAAGTCCTAAACAATTGACTTTACCATGGGGCGATTATCCTGGATTTTCCTGGTAGGCCCAGTGGAATCATGAATGCCCTTACAGGTTGAACAGAGAAGCAGCAGAGAAGATGAGTGCTTGATGTGAGGACCTCACTTGACATTACTGGCTGTGAAATGAAGGCACTTACTGCCCCAGGAAGGCAGACAGTTTCTAGAAGTGAGGAAAGGCAAGGAAATGAATCTTCCCAGAGAGTAGGGAAGGGAATGTAGTACTTCTACCAATTTAATTGTAGCGCAGTAAGAGCCATTTTGGATTTTTGGCCTCCAATAAATAAGTGTTCCTCTAGGTTATTTTATTTCTTCTTCTTCTTCTTCTTCTTCTTCTTCTTCTTCTTCTTCTTCTTCTTCTTCTTCTTCTTCTTCTTCTTCTTCTGCAACAATGGCAATAGGAAACAAACAAAATGAGTTTCAAAACTGACTTAGTGTTTTACTTTTTGATTAAAGCTTTGGCATATTCACATTTAAAACAAAGGCAGCTACACTGGACATGGTAAATTTAGACTTCCTCTCTCAAAATCACTAATTCCTAAATTTATACACCATGTATACTCCAAAAGATTACTGATGTCAATGTAATTTTTTTTATTAAAATTAATAAAAAGTTTTTTTTTTCCTCTCCAGCTATTGAAGAGATTTAGAAGCCCAATATATTTCGAGTATTTTTAAAAGATAGTACAGCCAAGACTCTAGATTTAAATTAGGGCCCTGCCATTTATTAGTTGAGGTTGTTTGCAAAAACTAACTTTTATCTGTAAAATGGAAATTTAAAAAACAGGATCTATACCATAGGTTTGTTGAAAAGATTCAATAGATTGACTGCGTCGTTGTTAGCACGGCGCCTGCTGCCTAATAAAAAGCGCGTGGCACAAAGTGTTACCTGTTCTTTTTACTGTTGCTGTATCTTCCCGATTTCAACACTTCTCTAAAACACGTAGAGCTCTCAAAATCTCTGTGTGGACGTTCTGTACGTTTAATAGTTTGCCCTTTATCTTTCAATTTTCATTCCTAAAGACACAACAGTAAATCATTCTGAAAATAGCATCTTCCTTAGCAATAGTTAATCCAGAGTCAATAATCTCCATTTAACATTATTCATTCATTAAAGTAATTGCGTAAAGGAATACAAAAAGTGAGCAAGACAATGCACTAACTAGGTAGGGATCCTAATTAAACTTTTTTTCTTCCTCCAAAGGCAAGGCTGAATGAAGCCTGCTCTGAACCAAGCGACCTGCACAACCTCCAGCACAGCTTCAGAGCAGAGACCGAGCCCCCTTTGCTCCAACGCGCTAGGGGTGTCGCCTGTCCTGGGGCAGTGCCAGGTGCGCCCCGGCGAGGCCCGCGCGCTGCACCAGCGGCTGCAGGTTGCTAAGCTTCGCCCTGGGCGGCCCGGCACCCTGGTGGCCTCTCGCCGGGGCGCACGCAGGCCCCCAAGCAGGCACACGCTGGACCGAGTCCGCACCACTTCGGGAGCGCTCTCCGCACCCCCGCCATGCGCCGGGTCCCCGCCTGGCCCCCAGCCGCATCTGGCCTCCCCGGGCTCCGGAAGGGAAGGGGCGTGTCCGGAGCCGGCGGGAGGGAGCGCTATAAAAGCGCCGGCGGCGCGGCGGTCCGGGCTTCACTCGGCACCTCGAGCTGGGACCAGGAGCGCCGCTGCAGGCACGGGCCGTGGAGAGGGCGCTGCGCTCGGGCTGCCCAATGCTTGGACTATCTGCCGCCGCTACCCGTGCAATATGCTGGAGCCCCAGAACAGCTAAACGGAGTTGCCACACCGCTGCCTGGGCTGGATCGCAGCACTGCCTTTCCTTATGAAGAAGACACAAGTGAGTAGGGCACGCCCGGGAGCTCCGAGGCTTTCAAAGAAAACCGCGCCCGAAGCCCCGGGGAGGCCGGCGCACCCCGGGACCGGCGGCCGGCACATGCGGGGCTGCGCCCTCCGGGTGAGCCAAGAGGGTGCGGGGGAGGCAGGCATGGGGTGCAGCCCGCGCGCACATCCGGCTGAGCCGGGGAGGGGAGCCCTGGGAGTCCGGAGAGGCAGCCGGTGTCAAGTTTGCAGCCGCCGCAGTGAAGTTTTCAGCTGTCAGTCGGAAGCCGCATTTCCCATCCGCGGCAAGGGTGGGCTCTTTGGCCTGGGACTTTGAACTAACCCGCGAAGGCTCGTCTTTGCACGGGAGACATTTTCTCGTGGATTTGGGAGGTTATGAAACAGCACCCCACGCACCGCCCTCGCTTGCTCTGGAGCCCAGATTTGTGCAGTCGCCAGGGGGACGCGAGACGCGGGTGCAGCCGCGGGAGCGAAGCCAAGCCCTAGCTGCTGAGCTGCAGCGCTCGGCGGGGCGGGGAACCTGCCCGGCTGGCCCGGAAAACTTGGCGCCCTGCAGCTCCTAGCTGCGTAGTCTGCAGCTCTGGGTGGGCCCTCCAGGGAGCTGCAGATGGAGTAACACCTCCTCAGTGCTTGCACCTTCTCCCTTTACAAAAAAAGTTTTATTTATTTATTTTAAATTTTAACGGGCGCCTCTAATGATAGTTATTGAGATAAAACCCAGAGTTGCTGAATGGTGCTTTATACATAAAGAACAGCTCCTAAAGCGCTGCCTGGAGGTCTAATTAGACAGACACCCCCCCCCCCCCCCCCCCCCCCCCCCCCCCCCCCCCCCCCCCCCCCCCCCCCCCCATATCTGGCTCGCCTTTTAGAAAAGGCTGCTGCGGTATCTCTTCCACAATTCTTTTCACCTCTGGCGGCGGTTCTTGCTTCTTCCCACTTCTTCCTTTCGGAATTGTTCTGCTATTTGCCTCGGGTTGGGTAAGGCTGCCCTTTCACCCCCCAGAGGTTCTGTCGGAGATTGCAATTCCTGAAATGTGTGGAAGGGGTTGAAATGGGGGTGGGGGGCTGTGTGTGCGGAGTGGAGATTGAATGTTTAGAATGAAGAAATCCGTGGGCTCAAAGTGCTTTACTAGGTTAACCACTTAGCATCGTATTTGAAATGGATGCCTAGGCTGGGACATTAAGAAGGAAGAAGGAAGAGCAAAGTCCTTTCCACCCGTTGTGAAAGGGGGCAGGGATAAGGGACCTTGCCTGGCATAAAAGGAGGTAGAGCCTAGCCTACTTTGGCAAGGTCTTCAAAATGAGGAAGAGAAGCAACGTGCCTGTCTCAGTCTCACAAGCAGGTTCGATTTTAGGGAAGGACAGCACACCTGGGATTACCACAGTGTGCTAGAGAAATGCAATCTGAAAGATTTCCCCACCAAAGAAAAGTTTTATTGTATGCTGAAAGTGTGCATGCTTTCTGCTCTGAGAAACAGTTAAGCGAGGGTGGGGAGCCTATTCCTTTTTATAGTCGCCTCTACTGGCATGAATGATGGTGGTGAGATGTGGGTGGAGAAGCCGCTACCTTTTAGATCAGGAAAAGAGCCCAGAGCTTCCTATTTAAACAACAGGAGACAGATCGGGTTAATGTCCAACACTCCAAAGCCGGGGTTGTACTGTCAAGTCACTTTGGGAGTCAGTGAGAGTGATGATCCTTGCATCCTTGCTTTGCAAAACAAACGCGAGCTCTGTAAACTCCTCTCTCACTTTGATTAAATGGCTGTGTAAATAGGATTACATGGAATAATTCCATTGAAAACTAGAAAGAGGTCAGCCTCGCCTGAAACACTGTGGCTGTGGCATTAGTGACTCAGTGCTGCCGACCAGAGAGACATTTGAGACAGCTAAGTATTTTAGAAATGTGACCTGCTCGGACCAAGTTAAAGTGCAGGCCCTTTGGGGGGACTTGCTGGTGTTAAAGGACTCGAGGGGGCAGTGCTCCTGTTGAATGAAGGCATTCATTGCTCAGGCTCTAATGACCTTCGAGGTTTTCTTTAAGGATACTCCTAGCCATTTCACATTCCTGTCACCGAAAACGGAGACCTTGGAGATAGCATAACATCAATAAAATAATCCATGGTAATGAAGGATGGTTGTCAAACTTCACTTAAGATTGGAAAAACCGTGTTCTGTGCAATTCTGTATGGAGAGAGAGAGAGAGAAATGGAGTAGCACAAGAAAATCAGAGACTAAGATTCTAGTCTAATGTTATCTTTGCCAGAGAGGAATATCTATTAATATTTAATAGCTCGAATAGTTGCTTATAAACATGGTATTACTACTAGGATTCCATTATAGGTCTATTGGTTCTGTACTCTGTGATGACTCAATACATAAAGAAAAATTGAATGATATTTTAAAAAGAACTGTGACTTGTACAGCTTTTCAACTACCATGGGGACAGCAGGTACTTTTGCCATTAAGTCAGGCTAAATAAGTGAAAATTCCATCAGCAACCACTTGGGGTTTGATGAATGATTCTTTCATTTACTTAGCACATGTGACAGACTTCAGTATTTGGAAAACAATTACACAGGCGATAGTCATAAGGAGACACTGTGACAATAAGCTTAATCACAAGCCTGCAGAAATAAATGGATTAGGTGATTTTTTTTAATTTTTTCTTGTATTCTACCCTTTTTGTGAGATTTTAAACTTTTTAGAGGAAAGACTGGGTCTGTCTTAGACTATCTCTTCTAAAATAATATTGTTTATTTTTTGAAGAGAGTACAACTTAGAATTAAAACAGAAAAAAAAAACAAGTGATACAGAATTTCGCTTAACAAAATAATATGAATTTCACAGTATTTGTTGTAACACATAGTGTTGTCTTCCAACCAGTTATTCATATTACCAGATGTATGCATGTAAAATTGAAGAAAGAAGAAATGTATAAGAAATTAAGAAAAGAAAAAGTACAAGCAATTGAAAAAAAGGAGACATAGCAAATTGGTATCTGCTTCTTTCCATAGGCCAATAGAAATACACAATACAGTTGTATAAAGCATCCTGCTTATGTGCTTAGATAAGTAATGTTGTTTAAGAGAAAACAGTACACTGGGATACATGAAACAACTATTGGGATACCATACTTTGCATCACCAATAAAAATGTGCTCAAAAGGAGTTACCTAAGTAAGCTCATTGCCACACTGATCCCTGTTGTGCTTACATTTTCGTTTCTATGCAGTTTCAGGTATTGTCAAGACTGCTGTTACGAGAGTCATCTTGCAGACAAAGTATAGAAGGCTGTGTTAGGCACAGTGAGGCACCAAGGGAACAGGCAATAGAACACTAGCTTTCACTAGCAGAGAAAATACCCCCCCCTTTTTTTTTTTTTGTCTGTTTGAGGTTTGAAATGTAGGTGGCCATGCAAGTTTGCTTTAGAGGGAAAAATTAACATATTTATGAAAAGAGCATTTTAGAATTGTGTCCCTCCGATCACTCAATTTGGAATGTGTGCTTTGAGGAATTCTAATTTATGTAGCTTTTAATTGATACATTCTGCCAAGACTTTAAAACTCAAGTGCTAAGTCGATTACATTTAACATAAAACAGGGAAAATAACCATATGGAAATTTGGTGGTTGGTGCCAAACCAATTAAAATCGCTAAATTTTATTTATGTCTAACTGCTGATTTGAAGATAGCAAATTATGAGTCACTGTTGTTCTGTAATGATAGGTGACTGAACTCTTACCACTCCCTTACATAACACTAGAAAACAAAGCCTGCCTAAGTACTGAGACACTCAGTTGTAGAGGTTTGTTGTATGGGTGGCAATCCATTATATACATCCTGGGAAGCACCTAAAATATGGTTAGTGAAAGGATTCTAGGCTCCAGCCACTGAAGACTCAGATTCCAATTTCTGTTTTCCCACTTAGCAGACAAATGATCTCAGGTAAATTGTTAAACTTCTTGGGACTTGTGCTCTATAATCTGCATGTTGATCATAAAATAATTAAAAAGATTATTCTCAGACAGTGGTGTAAAGCCTAAGACAAGACTGCCTATATATCTACCCCAGAAGATTGACATGCTCTAGTTGCTATCTGAGTTTGTTGTTCCTTAAAAAGAGAATTGTCTGTCTGCTTACTTTTGCAAGCCAGAGAAGAACTTGGTATTTGGAAGTAAATGAGATTTAATGAGCAAGGCACACAAGTTCTCTTCAATTTGGAGCTACCCATTATGTGCCATGCAGTATAGGGTGCTATCTGATTATCCACCCCAGGAATAAACACACATCAAACCAGGTATGGGAAAACAGTGGTGATATGGGATCATGACAGACTAAAGTTATTTAAGGTTTATCTTCCAAAGGGAAAAATGAATCAGAAACGTAGAATACGACACACAAAGAGAAACTGGAAACCCTGCCTTTTCTTTAATTCAGTTCCTAATTTTACACCATTGCTTTCTAAGTTCTCTTTGTGTGATTCTGAAGGTATCTTTTATTTTAGACTGAAGAGACGTGGTCTGTTTCTTGTGCCTGGCATTCGTGCACTCGGCCTGAGTCACGCATGTGTTCATTTTTGCCAGATGTTTTCTTTACCAGGCAACACACAGTGACTTAACTTATTATTATTATTATTATTATTATCTGAATTACCTTAATGTCCCCCTTTGTAAACTAGGGTAAGGCATTTGGACCTAAATCTCTGACAAGTCATCTTTTATTTTTCTTGTATACTGCATAAGTTCTGAGCAGCTGCAGGAACTCTGTTTTGGGCCTCTGTCACCTATGTAGTCAGAACAATTTATAAAACAAATTGAGAGAACACCAAGGTGCTTTTATAATATATGTGGCTTCAGGGTTGCTTTGTGTAGACTTTGTTTCATGGAAACCATCATCTATAGTCTGATTTATAGATGCAGCAAGATGTTTTTGCCTTTTAACTTAATTATGGGCATACTAAAAACTATTTACAGAGGCTGGGAATCTGAGAGAATTATCAT